AGTTTACCAGAGGGTATATTCCCGCACATTGCTCTAAATCGGTTACTGCAATGGCCACTGTTTATCTCTGGGTGTGAAAAACCGCCCTGGGAAACATGTCAGACCTCTGCGCCTCGTGCTGTTGCCTTTCTGTCAGAGTCTCAGAGGGGCAGGTGCAGCTCCTGCAAGTCAGAGGATCCCGCTCCCACCAAAAGAATGACGATGTTGTTGTTGATAGTGGTGATGGTGATGTTGTTGATGATGACGATGACAACAAGTAATTTTGTGAGGTCCCTATTCGCGCCAGGAATTTGCAGCTTCATGCTGCAGCGCGACAGCTTCCCAAGGGTGGCATAGGCACCACGACCGTGGCTCAGAAGATCGAGGGGAAGTATGGGGAAGTAGGAACTTTGCAAATCTCGGACCTTGGACCTTACAGTTATGGCCCGAAATACCAGTTATAAGTACTTGTAACCCCATTTATAGAATGTATCATCCCATTGAAATAACCAGTTATAACAAATAAATTGCCATAACTGTAGTGGATGTTAGTGAGGAGCCTGTCATGCCATATCAGGCTTTTTCATTGGATATAAATGAATGGTTCGCCATGAGAAACACGCCGCCTTTGCAAGGTCTGAGGGAAAGGTATGGATGCTGGATTTGCGCAGGTGAATCTTGAGGAAACCTGAGGATGTGGCCATAGCCAGGATGCATCTACTGCAAGTACCATAGTATACTTCCTACATTATTCCTAACATTTCTTAAAAACATGGACATGTGATTGTGATTGCGTGTGCTATTTTGATTCAACAATTACATATAATACATATGTTGTGTTCAACCCAGGCACGATGATTTTCAGGTTGAAGCCAGCAACCATGCGGTGCAGGTCGGCCGCTGCTGTTTGCCGCAGAGCCTGTCATGTCTTCGAGCAGGGCGGTGGCTTTGCTCGAGGCACAGATTCTGGGGTTGTTGAGACCCTTAGGACCTGGGATTTTTTGGGATTATATACTGATGGTTACCCTTAACAATCAAAATAGATCAAAATAGCGAAAGGAAACACAGAGTGGGATTTAATGGGATTAGAATGGGACTATAATTGGTTGAATGGGATTTAGTGTAGATTGTTTTCTGCCTTCAAAGTTGCCATCGGACTTATCAACCTTCCCAATGGATGGCTGATGGTTATTCAATGAAGAGATTATAGATGGTTGATATTGGTTCTTGATAGTTAAGAATGGCTGATAATAGATGGTTAATCCCTTTCCCCGTTCATATTAAACACCCCCCAGGGTCACCATGGTTTCTGTCAGGATGGTCCCAGCCCAAGCTTCGCCAGAAAAAAATGTCACTTTGGGGTCCCTCTGAGGAATATTGATGGCTGGTTGGTGGTTTGGAACCATGGATCTTTATGACTTTCCATATATTGGGAATGGAACAATGATCCCAACTGACGAACTCATATTTTTCAAGATGGTTATTGCACCACCAACCAGGTTCCATTTTCCCAATTTAAATGTAGCATTTCATAGGTAGGTTAGGTCACGACTCCATGTCTACGGCCTGAAGTCATACCACCATGGTAACAGGAATTCCTGGGGCAGCTGTGGAACCCGGGGGCCCGGATGCCAAGGGCTCTGCAGTCTGTGAGATTTTTAAGTGAATCATTCGAATCATCTAAGAACCTCTAAGAACTCCGTTTCGGATTTTTTCCGACGTCCTCAGATTTCCTGATGATTTCAATGATTTATCCATGTGTTTTCTCCATTTCTTCCACACTTGGCGGAGTTTCCGACAGAGATCCGCCCAGGTTGAGAGGATGCCCAGTAGCTACGACCTGGAGAATGTGGCAGAGGTGTTTTCTGAAATTGCCCATTTGAATGCGGATCATGATTATGTTATATTGTAGATGATGTTAATTCATGTCAATATGCGTATGTCAATTGATGTTAATGTATATTAATTGATGTTAATATATGTCATTTGATGTTAACATATGTTAATTGATGTCAGTATATGTTCATATATTAAGTTAATATATGTTCATATATTTTAATTGATGATAGTATATGTTAATTGGTGTTAATTTATATTAATTGAAGTTACTATATGTTAAGTGATGTTAATATGTATTAACTGTTCATTGATGTTAATATTTTTAGTTGATGTTAATATATGTTAATAGATGTCAATATTTGTTAATTTATGATGATATGTGTTAAATGATGTTAATATATGTTAATCGATGTTAATATATGTTAATTTATGTTAACTCATGACAAAAAATGTCAATTGATGTTAATATATATGTTTTTGTTGGTAATATATATGTTAAGTGATGTTAGTATATGTTAATCGTATCAATATATATATATGTTCATTGATGTTGATATATGTTAATTTATTTAATTTGATGTTAGTTGATGTTATATGATGTTATATGGGTATGATATGGGTCAAAAATCGATACTGTAGCTCTAAATTTGGATGCGTAGTACTAGACATGAATAGTTCATATTTGGGTATTAAATTTGGACCGTAATGTTTGACCCATCGAAATGCATCTCAGGGACATCGAATATTGTCATTTATTAGTTATAACTGGTCATTTATTAGCTATTAGTTATACAACTGGTTATAAATAGGATTATACATTCTATAAATGGGGCTATAAGTACGTATAACTGGTAAAGGGCCATAACTGTAGTAAATGAGACGGATATCGATGGCAGAACTGCCGTTAAGATAGTTAAACTGACTTTGTAAGCCATCGTTACGATCTGCTTACTAAGCGGGAGTTTTTTTCGTTTATATGCGAACTCACCGGCCGTCCTTGTCTTAGTGGTCTATATACTTGGGAATCGTCCCAAGAATGCCTTTATGTTTTCCAGCTTGGGAATTAATCTCAGAAGCCCGGTGAAAAATTTGGCAATTCGTAGAATAAGGTTCATGTATTTACAGTATATATGTGATATCTTTGAAACAACTATTCCCAAGGCTTTCCTTTTTAAGGGGAAGGGATCATACCGATACCATATCGGATAGCATTGGGATGGCTCAAATGGTCAAGAACTGGACTCCCTGGACGTCCTTGAGACCAAAACATCGTTTTCGCCCGCGACATCTACATTGTTCAACTAGATACCCTCTGGTAATGACTAACAGTTAGCTATTGAAAATTGCCGTTTATAGTTGATTTACACGGCTATAAGTGGTGGATCTTTCCATAGTTATGTTAATTTACCAGAGGGTAAGTGTAAAGGCAGGCCATAACAGTTACAAAAGACTTGTTTGAAATCAAAGAGGCTTGGGCGGTTTTGAGGATCCTGTATTGTTCTGGAAAAAGTTTTGTCCCCAAAATGACCAGCTGATACTGTACTTCAAAAGTATATCCAAGAAGTCCAAGAAGATCCCCAGACATGCTTCACTTTTTGATGGGTTTCGGACTGTGGAGGTGTCTTGGATTCTGGATCACTCCGCAGTGGTGTACCTTCCAGAGCATCCTGCCAAGTTGGCCAAGGCCTTAATGTCGAGGATCTTAAGAGGTTTGCCATACTAACCCCATCACCTCATATTCAACACTCCTTTTTTTGGTCCCAAATATGTGATTCCCCTACATCCCCCAAAAATCACCATGATGACTCTGGGGAGTGTTTGATACGAACAGGGGAAGGGGTTAATCATCTATTATCAACCATTCTTAACTATCATTAACCTATATTAACCAACTATGGAACACTGCTTGGTGGTTTGGAACATGAATGTTATGACTTTCCATATCTTGAGAATGTCATCATCCCAACTGACGAACTCCATCATTTTTCAGAGGGGTAGGCTCAACCACCAACCAGATGTGTTTTTCCATAAATAGCTATTGAAAACGGCCATTTATAGTGGATTTACCCATTAAAAATGGTGGATCTTTCCATTGAACATGAATCACTTTGCAAAAAAAGGCTTCACCAAAAACAAGGTTGAAACTCAGCGAGCAAATCATGGGATCTGGCGCCCCATGAGTCATGGGTCGGCTTAACCATCCTAGACCATCCATGGACCTCAGGTCTTTCAGGACTTCTATGCCATGGCGATGCCAATCTTTTTGCCCAGTTTGAGCATTCTATCGCGTGGAAACTCAGATTTTCTGACCTTCGCAAAGCGATCCAGGCATTTCGCAATTCGCGTCATGCAAAATCAACGTTTTTTTTTCTGCGGATGTCACATGACAGTTCTTCATACATATCCAATGAAAGGTGGACTGTTCACAATAACTACTTGTCTGGTGACATTGTCCAAGAATCAATTTTTGGAACAACTTATTGTATATATATGATATATATATGTGTGTGTATAATATACTGTATATAATATATTTAGTACTGTTATATATATATAATATCGTTTATATTATAACACACCTATCTATTTACATATATAAGAAATATATATATATACATATACAATATATATATATATATATTTATAGACATATACATAATACAATATATATATATACATAATACAATATATATATATATATATATATTATTATACACATAATACAACATATATATATACATATTATGTCGAGTTGTTGTTCCAAAAATGATGTTCAATGATGACACTTTTCTATAGAAACCTCCACGAACTCGCATCCTGACCGCAAAGTCTTGAGTCAAAGGCGGCTGTGGGGGTAATGGTGGAAATACCATTGGGCGTGTACATGGTACTTCTACCTTAGTGGCGTGGCAGTTTCTGAGTGTCAATAGTACCACGAACTTATTGTACTCGCAATGGTGTTTTTAGTATCATTGTGGTATGAAACTGAACCTAACAATGGTACTAATGAGTCAAATGCATTCTCCATTTGATGTTGCAAGACAGGCTTCAATCCCACTCTTAGAATCAAACCATCAGTGAGGTCGAAACCACTAATGATCTAAAATCAGAGCTCGAGCAACTCGACATCAAAGATGTCATACCTGGTCTTCAGCAACAACAAACAAGTGAAACAGGGACGCCCGACTTCGATTAGTTCCAGCTATTGCTTCGCTTGCGCAACGCGCTTCGCTTGACATGACGTGGCTGCAGAAACTCGAGGATTTGGAGGAGTCTATGAGGTGGATCCAGCACTTAGCCACAGTCAATGGCCATTTTAGGAACCGATTCATTGGATTAATATAAGGCCTATTTTTCAGGCCTAAATTTAAGGGAATATCCCCAGAAAATATGGCCAAACATATGGTACTAACGTACCTACATTTTAGGATCTTGAAATTCCCATTGATAAAGGACCTCAGCACTTTGCCAATCATTGCCGTACTGAATTTGACGAATCTTTTCCGATTGCTGTGCTTCAAGTTGAATTTTTGATATGGTCAGTATGACTGGCAACTATCCATATGCGGGTTCAATCCCTGAACGGTCTTCGAATGTGACCCATATCCATGATTTGATGGGTGAAAAGGCAACACGGTGACTGTGCCATCATGCGGTTGTCAGTAGTTATTCCCAACATGCCCAGGACTGTGAACATTTCCTGACTCTTCTTGCAACTCTCCAAGTTAAGACTTACAAGCTGGTAGATATACGTACCTTAGTTTACCATCCATTTCCACTTGGATTTGCTTCTTTACTTGCGCGTAGACCCACGCGTGTTTTCAATTACCCCAACTTCATGTTCATAATTTATATTATCCATGGAATTGTGTCTTTTGTTTAGTCTACAGAAACACATCAGTCCACTGTGTTTCTCATCATGTTTCATCCGAAATCGCGTCTAAATTGCTGAGCAATTTATGAAATATTAGTTGTTTATTCTGCCGAGTAAACACATCAGTTTCCAATCAAACCTCCCCATTTCAGCATTTCCCCAGCATTTCCCCAGCATTTCCCCAGCACGCACCGGGTCGCCACCGGGTCACCACCGCAGGAGTCAGGGCTCTGCGGCGTGCGTGTGCAAAGTTTGAGGCGCTTCGAGGCCGAACCAAACAGTGGCAAGGAAGGGCCTGGGGACTCAATGAACCTTTCGCAGAATTGATGGATAGAAATCTGCTTAGATGGGCCATGGAGTTAGGGAAAACTAATTAGTAAATGGATTATTTCATTGGGATTTTTTGGGGGTAACAAATCCCCAGTTACTAACCATGAATCGCTAATCCCATGGCCCATCTAAGTGTTGATGATGGAAATCATGGATGGTAAATATATGTAAATATGGGTCATGTTGATTTGTTGGATTTTGATGGTTTGACTTACTGGTGCTAAACGCAGGGAATTTTCGGGAATGATCCACAATCACTAGTAATTTCATCATCCCAGCAACCCCCAGTCCCATCCATTCCCTGCTAAGCACCAGTAAGTGATGGATGGTAAATATGAGACATGTTTTATGAAATGTATCATTGATATGTGATATATGATGATATATGTACATCATTGATATGGAGTGAATTATCTGTTGATGATTGCCATTGATGTACATTGATTTGGAGGTTTCCTAAGTCATGGGGGTACCCCTAGTTATCATCCATTTCAATAGAGGATTTTCCATTAAATAAACCATCCATAGTTTGGGGAAGCCCCATGACTTGGGAAACCTCCATATGGAGGTGAACGAGTGAACGATTTTGATGTACATCAACATTGATATCATATATTGAAGTACCCCAATGTATAATAAAGGTATATGTAAAATCAATAATGTCAATTTACAATGAGGTACCTCAATAAATATCATAAATGTAATATGATACATTTCATTGATATCCTTGATATTAGATACATATCTGTAATATGCAGGACAATTTCAATAGCCATTGATGATTGATGGTAAATATTGGAAATGTATCATTGATATGTGATATATGTACATCATTGATATGGAGGCAATTATTTGTTGATGATTGATGTACATTGATCCAATTGATGTTGATGTACATTGGGGGGAAATTATCTGATCAATCTGCTTCTTTGCCATGGAATATTGCCTTGTTACGATGGTCTGTTAAGTGCAAGTAGTTGTGTTTTTTTGATATCATTGTTGCATCCACGAGCAGCTTTTTTCTGGAGAGAATCTGTTGATGATCTTAACTCAAGAAATCTCTGCAAGCGAGTTTCAGTTGTTGCCGAAGAAGACCGAACATGGAAAATGGTTGAAGACATTTGTGGAGATGGCCTTAGCTCAGCACAGCTTCTGGCGCTTTCAAATATAGGGGTTGTCTGAAAATATAGCCCATCGGCCAACGATATAAATCCGTTGGTTCTCGTCGCTTTCCCTCTAAGATTGCATTTCTTTGCGCAGCGCCTCTCCCTCCCCCCTCCATTTTGAGGCTAAACCCATTGATTCCGAAAAAGACTTCAGTTGTGGAGCTAGCTGAGGTCCGTCCAATGGCAACAGACCATGGGGTTTTGGACTCAGCCTAGAAATCATGAGGGGAACGACATGGAACTCATGTCCTGGGTTCAGACTTTTCGTCATCTTTTTGGAGGTTGCTATAGCTGAAAGATATCACAACTATTGTTCTAGCAATTTCTTGCCCATATTCCAGGGCCGAACATATTCCATGCCAAAATAGCTGGGAAATTTCAGGGAATTGCGAAGACCCCTTTCAGGTGAAATTTGTATTTCATACAGTTTGCCAAGTACTCCTTTTCTTCTGGCACGTACGTTGTCGACTGCACATGTTCTTCCCCAAAGAAGATCCTTACTTTCAACAATTTCTGGAAATGTAATAATTAATAATGTTGAGCTTTCCAAAAACGGATTAATAATGTTCTTATGGGAATTTGTCATCTACACTTTTCAGGATCTCAAAACCTAATTCATAAGCTTTAAGCTTATGTTCTGGCACGCTTGGCTGGCCTTTCATCAGCAGCGCCATCCCCATCTTTCTTGACATCTTTGTGGCCCCGCAAAGAGCTCTGCACAACAGGATCTGGGAACACAAATCATCGACGATCCTGTTTTCTTCCGTGCAAAATAATTCCACCGATAGAGTACGATGCCACCCCTGGAGTGCGCTAATTTTCTGGAATGCGAAAATAAAACAGTATGCGTGGCCCACTTCGACCTTCCCCATGGATCCAACACCAGTTTTTTCCATCATATACCAGAAATTTATCACATTTCACCCCGCTGAGCTTTTTTTATTTTATTTTTTATTTTTAGTCATTTTTGGCCAAAATGGCCTGGAATGCGATAGTATGTGAAACTACAGACGTCTCACGCGAAACCGCTACCTTGCCCATATTCCAGAAAACGTGATTCCAGGCGATTTTAGCCAAAAAAAAACGAAAAAAAAAAAAAAACAAACAAAAAAAACAGAAAAAAAGAGAAAATTACCGAGTACGAAGATTTTATGGAGTGCGAAGATCTTGCAGAGTGCGTGGATTTTACAGTATGTGTACGTCCCTAGCTGTGGAGTGCGATGCCCTCGCTGGAGTGCGAAGAATTTGTGGAATGCGAAGAATTCCGAGTATGTGTGGCTGGTATAGAGACCACATAGGGAAATTTCGGGGCCAGAACCAAAATTCCAATCCCAAAGCCAGCCCAAACTTCCAGGGGCACACCAGTGGGTTCTATTTTTCCGAGTTCACCTTGGGTGAGGTCCCGGGGAAGAAACTTGCTAATTTTTACTCAGCCAACCTTTAAAAAGGTTACCTTTGACAACCCTGTCCTTCTATGGTAGACAAATGAGGAAACTTCCTTATCAAAGCAACCTTCAATTCATTCAACGTCCACAGCTGCTTTGGAACGACATAGGGGATAGAAAGCTGTGGAGGGGCATTCAGTGGATTCGCCGTGGGCCAACTGTTCCCTACAGATTGAGCTGAAATGCCTATCAAAGTAACATACCAAAACCCAGGTCTGGAGTACGATGAAAACATGGTATGCGAAGATTTTCTGAATATGGGAATGTTGCCTCTAGAATTGTGGATCAATGTCATGGATTGAGTGTATCATAGATCAGCTACCATCTGGTTATGACTAACAGTTCGCCATGGAAAGATCCACCATTTTATAGCTAGGTAAACCATCTATTTCTATGGGCCATCTATACCATGGCTATGTTAGTCATAACCAGAGGGTAATTCCCATATCATCCCATTATTCACCATTGTTAAACCATTAAATCACCATTAAATCACCGTTTAAAATGGTTAAATCACAATTTTCCTATGGTTTTATAGTTAAATCACCATTCTTTCTCGGTGAACGCGCCAACTTTTTCGCGCGCGATTCCGTATACCTGGATATACCTGGTACATGGAAGACCCAAGGATCCAGCGGTTGGTAAACTCACAGTGTCCTATGGGATCTGTTAGTTTACCAATGAGAGTTTGACCCATTACTAATGGAAAATCATGTGGTAAACTAACAGATCCTAACTTAAGTTGTTTTTTTTTGAACTCTCATTTTTTAATGGGTACATCATCGAAGTAAATGGGCCATGTGTCATAATCATTACAGGGTGACTATCCAAGTCTTGAAGCCCCCGAATCAGCTGAGGAGCATGACTTTGACCTGCCCCTTGGTGCAAGGCAATCTCAAGGAGGACGCGTCCACCATGGAATCCCAAAAATCGTTTCTCATGCCCAGTTGTTTCCTTGATATTCTGCCTTATCTACCATCATCTCACAGCAATGAGGTTCTAATATGGCATCTCGACTAGTTTGCAATGTATCCACTTTAATCTTTAACATACTGTTCACCTGTAATGTATATATATATATAGAACATATGTTATTGCCTAATTTTAATGTAAGTTGAACTCACCATCCTTTCTTCGTGAGAGCGTCCAGGAGGATGTGGTGGTCCAAGCCTCGATGTGTCAGCTGCAGGCAATGGCAGATTCAGCGATCTTTTCTGGTTGATGGTTTGGCACATGTTTTATTGTGAATAATCATGTTATATATGGGAATATATCTGGGTTAGTAAGGGAAATCATCCCCAAATGGCCTTATTTCAGGATAGTGAAATATTATAATTTACCCAGATGTTATATATGGGAATAATATATGGGAATCATATAATCAGCGATTTGTCCATTCTATAGGGAATAATCCTTCCTATCGACATATTTTTCAAGATGGTTAAAGCATGTTAAAACCTCCAACCAGATAATTTAAACTATTTTGCCATTTATTGGGAATCATCATCCCAACTGACTTTCATATTTTTCAGAGGGGTAGGTATACCACCAACCAGTTGATAGTTTTATTTTTTGCAAAAGACATTAGGCACTACGACAATAAGTCGGAAAAATACGTATTATGATAATTATTGGAAAGTAACTAATCATCTTAAGTTTACTTTTGTTTGATTTGGATAATAATATCGGTTGTTCATGATAATTTAATCATGTAAATTATCAACATACTATGTAAGTTTGATCTACAAACTAATTTTTGATTAATACTCATTGGGTGATAATTGGATACTATACTATTGGATGACTATTGGCAATTGGTATGTATTCATACATCATTGATATGTTATATAAGTTATATACTATACTATAATAGGGTAAGAATTGTTTGTTTGCGTTTGTTTCTTAAACATGTTTTGGTATTGTTATATTTATATATATGAATTATGTGTTCTTGCCAATTAAAAATCCAAATGCCCTACTAACAATTGAATGGCTTATAGGTGTTCATCATAGTGTCCGTATTATTGATATATCTACCATTACAATAATCATAATATTATCGATTGTCATTTATATTATGTTGACTGAGATGTATGAATGTTGTATTTAACTGTATTCATTGCATTTTATTACCATTCTTGTTATATTACCTATAGTATTACTATCCCATAGGATCCATGTATGGTATATATGCTAACATGACTGGGGTATATTGATGGTAAATGTTGCCATATAAGCATACATGGATCCTATGGGTATTATACAACAGGCGTTTCTAGCGGCAATGGCATGGTGACCGGCTGTGACCCATGGACGTTCCTTGCCGTTGCAGGTGCTGGTCCAAAACAAGCCTTTGGCCACCGCCCCGGAAACTGGTGTAAACTGATGGCGGACGGGAATTCCGGAATGGCAATTGATGGCAACTTGAAAGATGTTCCGATTTGGTATTATGCAGGTAAAAGAAATACTGTAAGTGTTATTCTTTCCAACTGGTTGTGCTTTCTTAATGTTTGCGGGATGGCGGGATGGCAGGTCGATTCTGATGGGTATTGTCTTGTTGATTGAAAGATTTTGAAACTGAATGTAATCAATCAACAATTTTGATATCATCAACACCCATCAGATATTGTCTTGGTGATTGATTGTAATGTTGAAAATGTAAGGATACCATTGTAGTCAATAGATGTCAATAGTATAATAGTATTATAATATGATATATAATAACCAATAGTGTAATGATACCAATAAAATGAAATATAATAGTGTAATGATATATATATACTATTGGTATCATTACACTATTGGTAATTCCATGTAATTCCGTAGTGGTGTGATGATATATATAATTATATATAATAACCATCTAAAAAAATGGCTTTTCTTGGCCTCCGCCATCCGCCGCCATCTGCCATCCGCTAACCGCCATGAGGCCGGTCTCAATGGCATGCTCTATGGCACCGTGCTGCCGAAGCTCTGTGCGTGGAGGAACCGATTGGTGGAACCGGGGTCCTTTTAAAAGGGGCCTACAGTTATGGCCATTTATCAGTTATAAGTACTTATAACCCCATTTATAGAATGTATAATCCCACCTAAAACCAGTTATAACTAATTAATGGCCATAACTGTACAACATCCTACTGATTGGTGGAAATCCTGCTGAAGTCACATGCGATAAGTTACCTACTGGAAAATTGCTGGCTTCAAGTGAACGTTGATTCCGAAAAAGCGACTTGAACTGTATCGGTTCTTCGATCTGTATTTGTGCATGAGTGTGTTCAATCCCTGTGTTTACAGATGAACCTGCAAAATCAGACCTGTTTGTCACATCTGTGGAAACTTCCAGTCAGCAAAACCGTATGCATATAGTGACTTGGTAAAGTTGCGGTTTGTTCTCCCCTTCTTGCGGCAGATCCATTGAATGAAACGCTACTCCGAAGTCTCCAGCAACACCTCCCGCTAGGTTGGAACGAGTGGCAGCGCGACGTATGACACGTGGGATTGATGAAGCCTATCAGAGGCGCAGACCTCGTGGCTTAGTGGACACAGCATGGTACGATGAATGATGGGACTCACGTCATCAATCGGCTAGGCTTGCAATGGCTTCCAAATGAAATTCTTTCGTGGATCACTGGAATCACTGGAGAGAAACCGGAAATTCAGGTAGAAATCACTTGAAATAGGCACATGTTTTCTCCCAACTTTGTGTTTATTAAAGATCCAGCCGGAGCACCAGGGTACCGAGCCAGGACCACGTTGCACATCCAGCTGGCGAAGCGAGGACATCGGAGCTGGCCGCAGCTGTGGGGGAAGCCCAGTGGAGCTGTGCATTGAGTGTCCGCAATCAGCATTGGGCGAAGTTGATTTGATATTCACATACCCTCTGGTAATTTAACATAGCTATTGAAAATCACCATTTTTAATGGGTAAATCAACTATAAATGGACCATTTTCAATAGCTATGTTAGTTTACCAGAGGGTAGTGATGATAGTTGATGATAGTTGAAACTGTGAAATGATAGCTGATGATAGTTGATTTGTCCGACCCAAAAGACATAACTGGGAGCAATGGTTCGAAGGAGAGACCTTTGTTGAAGGAAAATGGATGTTACCAATAGAAAAGTATGATTTCTGGTTGGTGTGTTGGAACATGTTTTATGACTTTCCATTCAGTTGGGAATGTCATCATCCCAACTGCCGAACTCATATTTTTCAGAGGGGTAGGTATACCACCAACCAGTTAACCATCATAATCAGTTTTTCAGAGGGGTTAACAACCATCAGTAACCATAATCATCATTGGGGAAAACCATATATAACCATATATAACCATATATAACCATATATAACCATATATAACCCACCATTAATAACCAACCAGATATTTAAACAACAACTGATCTAACCAAGCTGGCTTTGGTCAAGAACCCCCCGGGATTCATCCTGTGCTAAACTTTTGGCCCTGGCCCACAGTGGACGACAGATTTCAAGTATCATCCGATCATTTTAAAAGGTGGTGCCCCACAGTTAGCTAAATTGGTTGAAATAATAGCTAATAGAAGTAGACATGGATGTCTATGGTAGATATATATATATATATATATGTATGAACAGGTTATATTTTAATTTATATCGTGTTTTTATATAGATTCATATTATATTTATATATACATATTTAGAGAGAGAGAGATTCTATAATTGCACATAACTATGCTCAATGGGGTCTCTACACACAACGCAATGCGCTTCGCCGGCCGAACAGCCCTGCCGGGGTTCCCTGAGGTGGTACGCCAAAGAGATGAAACATCCTGCCGCCAGGTGCGGTGCGCCAACATCTGTATGAATTAGTAGGGATATATTGTAATATATATATATATTGTAATATATATATATATATATTGTAATATATATATAGTATAATATATATATATATGGTTGGTGGTTTCAAACAGCCGTGATGCTCAGATCCTCCCAGGGGTGCGGCTGGGCTGGCCAAGCTCTGAGCGGTATGTTTTGTAGCCATGTTCGATTACTGCTGTCCTGGTGACCTTGGTGGTGTTCCATGCGGCTTTTGCTGTGCCCGGGTACGATGGCTGACTCTCTTGATCACGGTATTGGTCTACTCTTTCGACCTTGCCTTCAACACTCTTGATTGTTTAGCCTTTGTTATGCGAAACGCTGGTCATGTTACCATTATTCTGTGGGATGGTGCTACCCTGTACTCAGATGTTGTGTCTCCAGTTGCTTGCTTGGATAACACCATGGTAGTGGCAGCAGATGCGAGGAATCCACGGCAGTCAGCGCTCTACAGCGACCAGTCAGGGCTGCATAGCACGGTGGGTCACAGTGGAGGAAGTTTGGCAGTCGTTGGTTGGAAAGTGTATGAAGGGACGAGCAGGCGATTTCCTTTCTGTGTTGACGTTGTGTTCAAAGCTGGAAAGCTTTACGGATCTTTTGTCACTGGCAAATGTGGGCTCCTTCCTCCAAAGCCTGACATGGAGGATCAAAAAGTGACGATCCCAGGTTCGGTGTCAACTCGGGAAGCTTGGCCACGGTTTCCTTCTGAGGTGCGGGATGATTTTCGTATCAGAATGCTTTCCATCGAACATACAGCCCTTGTTGGGCATGGTGCACGGTATCTTGAGCCACAGGGTGGGGTTTCTGCTACTGATGTGCTGATCTTTACTGCGCACAAGTTTGTCCAGAAGCCCACCGACAAACCTGGTCTTGCTTGTACCTATGGTAGCCCCATGCTTGTGCCCCTGCCTACTCAGCATTCGACTTTAGGAGGCTTCGGTGATGGAGGTTTGCACTACAGCTGTTGGTGCCTGGATTTCTCAGTTGAGACTCCTCAGGGTGATGATCGTACCGCCGCTCCCTTGTATGTGTCTCAGTGGCTCTGGGCCCTTTCATCTCCGACAGCCGAGGCAACTCACGGTTGTACAAAGAACTTGTCCCCGACCACACAAGGTGATCTGGGAACGGTTTCTGAATCCTTAACTTGCAGCTACAGAGGTCCTGTCCCTTCGAAGGTGAAACTTGTTGGGGTTGTTTCCGATTGGTGTGGGGCCCGTGTTGCTGCTCCTTTTGAACATGCCATAAAAAGTGGTATGTACCTTGCCGTTGCTTGTGACGGTGAGGCTCTGTTTTCGTATTCTTACTTGTGTTTGAAAATTAAATTGGTCAGGCCGCCCTCTGCCGCGCAGTGGGCAGGGTTGACACCTGTGGTTTTGACTTCTTTAGGTCTCTAGAACACCCAAGACGGGTCACGTTCATCTCTCAACGTGGCGCGCACAGTAAACTGGGAATAAACTGGTGGTTTCAAACATTTTTATTTTCCAGAATATATGGGATAATCCTTCCCATTGACTTTGATATTTTTCAAGATGGTTCAAACTACCAACCAGATATTATGTAAATGTAATCGATTGTATACTGATAACCTGATAGAATTGGATATGATGGGATGGTGTATTTGGATGGATTTGATCGTGACCTTACGCAATGACGTCACTGCAATGATGGTGAATGTATAGGGGAATCATCCCCAAATGGCTGTAATTCAGCGAGATTCTTAGCAAACATTGTTATTAGATTGCTTCAGATTGGTACACTTGGAAAATGTTGTTAGATATAGGCTATTACATACATACATACATAATATATATATATAATATATATATATATATATTATATATATACATAATATATATAATATATATATATATATATTATATATATATATATACATAATATATATATATATATATATTTATATATATATAATATATCATATATATATTATAATATATGTATATGTAAATATTTTAACATATCAAATTGTTGAATCATGGATGAGAGGTGTTGGATTTAGGGGATGGGTCCACATCTTGGCATCAGGACATGCGATGATTGGTGGCCTGGTGGCTTCACACACACACACACTGCTGAGAAAATTCCATGGGATTAAAAGTGAAAACATGGGAGCCACGTCCAAAACCCCCTTATTCATTTCTGGTTGGTGCTTTGGAACATTTTTTTATGACTTTCCATATATTGGGAATAATACTACCAACTGACTACCGTAATATTTTTCAGAAGGGTTGAAACCACCAACCAGATTTTTAGTAAGATCAATGGCCATTTCAGGAACTGGAGGTACCTACCATATATAAGGCCTATTTTTTCGAGCCTACGTAAGGGAATATCCCAACAAAATATGGCCTTATATGGTACAGTACCTCCATTTTAGGACCCTGAAATTCCCATTGATAAGAGGGTGGCAATAAGGACCTCGCTTAAGCAAAGCCCCGGTGTATCCATATTCCCCAGCAGTTGGTGCTATGAATTGAGTTTCCCAACGGGTGACAGGAGTGGCTATGCATGGACTCCTGCCATGGAGGCTGCTCAGGAGAGCAGCACATCTTGCCTGTCATATTTCAGGTTCAACCATGTTTAACCAATTTTAATCCATCCCATATTAAGAAAATCATAGAATATCCATGTTTGGCACGGCATGGAATCATGGAATGATGACCCATTTTTTCCTCACATCTGGTTGGTGGTTTTTAATGTATCTATATATATATACATATATATATATAATTACACAGTATATATATATATATGCATGTTCAACCATATTTTGGGTGATACCCCTCAATGGCAAGCATATTCTTGACATGGGATGAATCAACCAGAAATATTTAAAGTGTCTTTGAACATGGTGTATATCTACCCCCCCGACATTGCCATTCATGGATTTTCAGATAGACCATATTTTCACTGAATGGAGGACATGGTGATTTTCACTGAGGATTTCAAAGGCATTATTTTGGTGCACGATTTTTAGGCCTTTTTGATGTCTCAGGACACTGCTGAGCGTACGGAGCTGGTTCCCCTGCATCAAGGAGTACCTCAAAGAGAACGCGAAGGTGGAGGTGGGCTCTGTATGGATGGGATTTGTAGGATCTGCGTGGATCTGCCGATGGTGGAAAAGGCCAGTTTCGAAACTCACCATTCATCAAAGGGTGGTCATATAAGTTATGTATACACATGTATATACATAAATATACATATATATATACATTATATATATATTGTATATATATATATATATTATGTATATATATATATATTACGTATATATATATATTATGTATGTTCAACCTTATATATAATTATATATATACCCTCTGGTAATTTAACATAGCTATGGAAAATCACCGTGTTTTTTAGCAAAATCATCATAAATCATCCATACATGGGCCATTTTCCAAGGTGGACTCTGAAGATAGTGAAATGCCTAGGAGCTGACAGCACATCATGACATTAATAATCAGCAAGCCTACCGCTGGTGATGGTCGTTGCCTTTCAGGTTTGCTCTTTGTGGGGCCCCGAGCACATGGAGCAGCAGAGATTGTCACCGTGGTGTAGTCTCTTCAAGATATGGGGGTTTCCATAAATGGGGGTACCCCATAAACAGATGGTTTATAGTGGAAAATCCGTACCCCCATTTCAGCAAACCCCCATATGCCCAAAGACTTGAAAGTGTAAAAGAAAAGAATATCACACCAAATTCAGTTGATGAATACAACACACGGTGACCATTGAACGCACCTTCTCGAAATCGATCTTCCGATGCGTCGATCAACTTGCCTTGCCACCCAGGCCCCGGATGACTTGTGCATAGCTGTGGACACACTGCAGGACGGCTGAGGAATGACTAATGGTTGCTGTACCTGAGCATTTGCCCCTACCCTACATGGTTAACAGGTAACATCAAAGTTCTGAGTCGATTGAAGGGCTTAAAGTTTTTTGTTTGCTATGGTCAAGGCTGGGTTGGCGTCTCTTCCGCTCAAGTTGATCCTACCTACCATTAGGGTTTCGATCACTCATTTCCATATATTTGTGACCATGTGGATGGTTTGTTTCCATATATTTCCGTATAATTCCATATATTTCCCTGGTTGGTGGTTTGGAACATGAATTTTATGTTTCCATATATTGGGAATGTCATCATCCCAACTGATATTTCCATATCGTTCCACAGATTTCCATCATTTCCACAGTTTTGTTCATCCTTTTCCATATATACATATGTATATATATATATATGTATACATATATAATATTATGTGTATATATATATATATGTTCTACGTATCTGATCATAGTTTCAATATATGTTTCCTAAAATGGGCTATCCCCCAACAAAAAACCATAGCTTTCCATATATTTCCACAGCTTGTTCTATCCTGTTCTGGGATGCCAAGGGATGGCCCTATAGCTTAGCCCCACCAGGACGCTAAGAGCATGACGCTGCGGGTGCACTTCGATGCAGAGGTTTTTTGGACCCCCAGGGATTGGTCGGTCGTTTAGTTGGGGGTTCACATATCTCCAATGTCACTATGGTTTATGGTACCCTCTGGCAATTTAACATAGCGAACTGGAAAGATCCACCATGCTATTTATGGGAAAACTCACGAACTTTCTAGGGCCATTTTCAATAGCTATGTTAAATTACCAGAGGGTACTTATAACTATAGTTATTGGGGCTTTTGTTAACCAACATATAACGAACTAGGGGGCCCCACATTGTTGTAACTTCTAAAACGGCTAAATTCAGAGGCATTTTTTGAGGGTTGAATTTGTTTGTTGAAGATTCCACTTCCAGGTCTATTTTATATATATATATATGTATATATATAGTGATAGTGATCATTCGATGAAGGTTCATCACCACCAAGAGAGTAGCGTGAACTGGCTTTGACTCCGCTGATCATTCAGTGATACTTGATAATCAGTTCTGGAAGTTCTGGTTGTGTGCTGCGCGCACTGGAGTGTTTCACTTTGCAGGCCAGCCCATCGTCATGCTGACAGAAAGACTTGTTTGTTGTTTTTTTGATGTCCCCAAAAGCCACAGGAAAGGATCATTTTGAGGAAGAACATGATGTATTGCGATTATTGTGGGGGTTGCACGTTTATTTACTACATAGTCACCCCATGACAATTCCTGTAGCTGCTGATGAAGACGTTGACATCCTTCCTTGGCCTTGGGTGGTTTGGTCTTCACTATTCCTGTTTCAGCGAGTGCACAAATATACAACCCAAAGCTACTTAGAGCTCATAGTAGCAGCAGCAGCAGTAGTGGTTGTAGTGATAATAAGCTATCAACAATGATAACTCATCATGCTAGTGATGATAATGACAAGAGTTGCAATACTGGTAATAACCACCACATAACAATGATCATATAATCCACATATTAATGGTAACCATAATCATGATTATAATTTATATAATTACATTATTCAAAAATCAATACAGTATTAACTATTACTATCACAGTAACATATGATCATAATAATTATCACCATAGTAATATTCCAGTTAATAACATGTTCCAAACATATTAATGCTCCCACATTAATTCATATTCCAGTTTCAGTAATAGTGATCATATTTATCTAAAGCTATATGATTCCCATCCATTATCAAACATGTTTAAAATGACATGAACAACGTTGCGCCCATGTCACAAGCATCGCGTCATAGAAAATCCAGGCTTTGGAGGTGGCGCAACGCATCGTACCGTTGGGATCTTGGAGCGGGATCTTGGATCTTGGATGTGAGTCGTTGGTTGAGAGGTGGCCAGTAGATGAGTGGCGATGTTTACCCTCTGGTAATGACTAACATAGCTATTGAAAATGGTGATGAATAGTGGATTTTCCCATTAATAGCATGGTGATTTTCCATAGCTGTGTTAAATGACCAGAGGGTATCCTTTTCCCAGCTTTTGTGTTAGATTTTGTGGTTACATGATGTTACATGTCTATAAAGTTTAAGGACATTCAAAGCCTCCATGCCAGGCCCAGTATGGAAAGTTCACCAAATAACTGGAAAACGCCAAAAGTATTTGGAACATAAATCCCAGTATATGGAGGTCATAGGCCCTTTTGGAACTACCCAGAACAATCAGATCCAATGTAGAGAGAGATGTTGTTGTGTGTTTCGACGGGTTACACCAGTTGGGTGTTTGAGGCAGGCTTGTGCTCTTTTTCAGGAAACGGAGGCGATAGCGCATTTATCGCCCTTTAGCAGCAAGTGTTTGAGCCGCGACTGTGTCCCTTCGAACTTCGAAGCCTCAGGCTGGAAGAGTTGCTGGCAGCCGATGTTTTGGAGGACCGTGGTAACAGTTTGAGCAGTGCTTGGATGTTTGGTCCAGATGGTCCAGTTTGCAGCATTTCACCAACCCCATTGCGGTACAATATCCTCCAATGATGGTTGAAAAGACCCATTCTTCGGTGGATCACCTTTGTTGGGGAATGGTGAAATCCCCATGTGTACCATGCGTTTTTGTGGCTGGCTCAAAATATCCTTTATCAATGGAGGAGAATCGAGGAGAATGAAGATTTCTAGGAAAATCATGGGAGGAGGGTCCAAAACCTCCCTTCATTTGTTTAGTAAGAGTTGTGTCATATCGTATGGCTGTCTGGCGTAAGCAAAACCCTGGGTTTCGCAAGCTGGCGTAATCATTTTGGTCGTGGTAGATGATGCATGGCGTAAGTCCATGCGTAAGCATTCCTGTCAACATGTCCTAAGCGGCCACGTAAGCAATTAAACCAAATTTTGGGCAATTCAAGTCGCGTAAGGGTCGCATAAGACTGTCTCACACCCCAACCCTCGTGTAAGTCAAAATTGTGGTCACATAAGTAGTGCGCGTAAGCAAACCCGTGCAACATGCGCATTTAATCACACCTTTTGGTCGCTGCTCATGGGGGATTTCCCAGCAAGCTGTGTTTGATTACTAATCCATTGAATATCCCATGAAGATCCATAAAATTCGAATCGTAAGAATTTGCTGTTTATATCCCCATATAATTAGGGTTTTCCATAAACAGGGGTACCACAAAAATTGTTGTTTTATAATGGAAAATACCATAGAACTGATTTTGCACATGGATGATTTTTCCGGGTACCCCCCCTGACTTATAGGAAACCTCGTGATATACCATCTGGTTATTTAACATAGCCCTGGTATAGATGGCCCATAGAAATAGATGATTTTCCCAGCTAGAAACCTCCATTTATGGTTGGGATTTTCCATGGCGAACTGTTAGTCAGAACACGATGGTATCTGCATGGCTGCCACCTGCTCTTTAGGATCGCGTGAGCATCTTCTTGCAGTGCGACCCACAGAATCCCATCCTCTGGGCGACGTTGAGTGGTCGCTGCGATCCCAAAGAGTCAGGGCCTCAGGGCCTCAGAACTGGGCAACGACGGGATGTTCCGCTTGACAATAGATGGTGAATCTCATGTCCTTATATATCTATCATGTTATATATATATATATTATATTATATATATTATATATATATTATATTATATATATTATAGTATATATATATTATAGTATATATATAGTATATCTATAATTATCTATATATCATATCTCCTTATAATATATATATATATATCATCCTTTAGCAACTGCAGGCATCCGAGCCATGTTGCCCCCCTCAGGAGCAGCTGGAGCATGAGCACCTGCGATCGCTTCAGGGATCGGCAGCAGAACAGCGGAGCGCCAGGCTGCTGGTCCGGAAATGGGCTGCATATGATGTGGGTAAACCAATGCCATAAATGGATGATTTTGTGGGTAACCAACTAATATCTGGTTGGTGGTTTGGAACATTTGTTATTTGTTCCATACTATATGGGAATAATCATCCCAACTGACTAATATTTTTCAAGAGGGTTAAAACCACCAACCAGACTAATATAGAGCTCCATTGTTTGAGTCTGGTTTAATTGCAGTGGGTCATCTATCCATCTATGTCTGTTAATGCAGGTAAAATAATAAAGCACCCATGACTGTGAATGGTAACTATACAACCTTTTATATTTATGATGATTTGGGGGATGGTTTATGATTGTTGCGACAACATTAAATTAGACCCATATGTGATTCAATGGGATATTCATAAGGATATAATGTGGTAAACTTAATAATAAACTTGATGTTAAGGATATGATGTGGGTAAGACAATAATGATGCTGATAGCCACATCACAATGATTAACCACCTTTTCTAATGAATGAAACAAATCACCAAGTGGGTAATAAACCACCATGACTGGGCATGGTAACCAGAATGGTAACCATATACAACGTATATATACTGTATGGTAATTTTGGTGATGGTTTATTACCATAAATACCATAAGTACGATAAAATGGTATTTTTTAATCCACATGATGCTACACCCATAAAATGGTCATTTAATAGGGAACATTATGATTCACCGGAGGATAGCGATAGACAAGGCTAGCCTGTTTTGACAAAGCCAAGTGAAGTAACGTAACTTAGCATACTTAGCCAAGATGGTGAACAAAACTAGATGAATTTAGCTGAATTTAGCTGAATTCTATGGTTTAATTATTGTAAGTACAAGTATGTGTTTCTTTTGGTAAACCTCTGGGTAGCTGCTAGCTGGGAAAGCCTCTATAAATGGAGGTTTTAATGGGAAAATTATTAAACTAAAGGGGGCAATTTCCTTCAAGCCATGTTTGATTACCGGGGGGGTAACATGGAATGATAAGATTTGGAAAACAGACAGTTGCAAGACATGAATGGCAGCTATGTTCAATCATTCAAACTTATTTTATCGCGTGGAATGACAGTTTATTTGGACAATTTTGGATGAATGCTTACTACATGTTCATGCATTGTTGTGTGGAAACATATATTTATATACCAGATGTATATATCCTGATACGTGATGTATTTGGCTAAGGCGACCCATTTTGACACCAACTATTAGACAAGCCTCAAAGATTCAGATGCGGATTTTCTCAAAGCATACCAGAGATGATGACTTTGAAGTTCACATGACTTTGGTTGTTTCTTGAAAGAATCAGGACCACAAGAAGCGTTGACAGTTTCTCAACACACGAAGAGGATTCTGCTGGATTTAGGGGAACATATGGCAAGTACAAAGGTGTTATACTCTAGTAAACTAAGATAGCTATGTAAAATCACAAATTGTGATTTTCCTATGTCAAATTACCACAGGGTAAAACCGCGGACCAGTCAACAGGTCATGCTTTGGCCATCGTGCTGACAAAGCAGAAGGACCATCTGTGCCCGCTGCGAACGTTCAAGACTTCTACAGTGTGCATGTGCTTAACATATATTAACACTAATAAGAAACAATAAGAATAACGTCTACAGTATATACTATAGTATACAGATTTGATAATGATATGATTTGATAATATATAATCATATATCAACACACATGTATAAAACTTTCACCTTATATATCGTACATGCTTCGCATGTGCAATATTAGCACAAACCAGATTGCAATATATGTCTTTTGTAGAGAGTACACAATAAACAGGATCGGGTACCCAGCCTGCATTGCAGTACCCAACTTTTATCAGATTTCTTCAGGAGAGTCGTGGTGTCTGGGAACAGCCCTTCGCGTTTCTTGGACTTGCTGGAAGTGCGATAGGGGAGGTTGATCCAGTAGCACCAGACGTGTATAGACTGAATGTTGAAAGTACAGTGGATTCTTCGACTATATGAGCTATGGTCAATACTCATGGTTAATAACCATTAGTAAGGAATGATCATCCAATGGGGTGACCATCAATCATATATGGAGTTTTGACCATGGCACATATGTAACTGTCTCTGAAAATCTAGCGGAAACAAAAAAAACACATTCCGTCCACCGGTCACGAGTGAATCACGCTCCTTTTCTGACATGACCATTTCGAGACATTTTCCTGTGGAAAGACCATGGCAGCTGCCATTTGTTCACGGTTCCCGACAGCGAGGCTCTGTCTTCAGCATCCCTTGATGCTGAAGAACTACGATGAACTTGCGGATGTCTCTGAGGTTCATCAGCTAAAGTGTTCCCATGGCACAAGGATGCACAAGGTATCAAGGTGAGGGTCCCCCTTTTAACGTTTGGGGCTTTATGGAGGATATGACATGATACAACAAACTAAATTATTACTGGGTTTATAAAGCAACAAACATCACGGCCCTTGGGGGGGCTTCACCTTGTAGCATTATGTTTACATTCGACGCTCTTCCAGAATGATAATCTGGTTGCTGGTTTCAGACATGAATGGATTATTTTCCATTTCATATGGGATGCCATCCTTCCCATTGACGAAGTCATATTTTTCAAGATGGTTATTGCACCACCAACCAGTGTACCCTCTGGTAATGACTAACATAGCTATTGAAAATGTCAATGTTTAACGGGAAAATCCACTATAAATGGCCATGTTCAATAGCAAACTGTTAGTCATTACCAGAGGGTAATTGATGTGTGATGAACCAGTGTTTTGTTGATGGTCAACACCAAGCCGAAGACATTGCTGGAAACCAAGACGTTGCATGTCACCCCATCGCAACATAGGCTGCCTCCAGAATGGCAGCCCGGACACAGTCCGAAGCAGTCCGGACACATCACGAAGAGAGGGTGGAACCCCTAATTTTTCATCGTCATCTCCCAATTCTTTGCTTTTTTATTTCTATACTCTAACCAAATAATATAGAGATCCATTGTTAGAGTATGGTTTAATTGCAGTGGTTCATCCATCTATGTCAGTTACTGGTTATTTCTATGGGATTATACATTCCATAAATGGGCTTATGACTTAGTACTTATGGTAAATAAAGGGCCAGTAACAAGTAACAGTGGGATACCTATGTCACTAACCATGGATCTCCCCATCCCCAACCCAGCCAGGCCCTGCGCGCGGACCAGGAGGACGCCACGCAGAGCGCTCGGCTGTCGCCGGAGCAGCGGAAGGATCTGCAGCGGCGTCTGGCTGAGTGGAGCGAGGCCTGGGGGGCGTCTAAGCGTCAAAGCTTGGGGATTGAACCCAGAAAAAATTGATGAAAAATGATGGAAATGTGAGATTTCACCATCAAAACTGGAAACAAAGGGCTGGAGAATGGTGATTTCACCATCATATATGATGACTTTTCAGTCATCATCGTCATGGTCATCATCATCATCATCATCATCATCGTCATCATCACCATCATCATCATCATCATCGTCATCAAAATCAAAATCATCATCATCAAAATCAAAATCATCATCAAAATCAAGGTCAAGATCAAATAATTAGCTGAATCAATCCAATTGAATCCATCAAAAGATGGAGCCCCAGGAGCGTTTCGAGCTGATGCCCGGTGCCAAGCTCTTGCCCCGCAGCCCGGAAGTGGGTTGGGCCTTGCGAGACGAGGACGGGGTGAATTTGATGGTTGTTGGGGGGCGAAAAACGAAGGAGTTGATGGATTTATAACACTATATTTACCCTCTGGTAAACTAACATAGCTATTGAAAATGGCCATTTATAGTGAGTTTTCCCATTAATAGCATGGTGATGTTCCATAGTTTTGTAAACGTTTACCAGAGGGTATAGTTTTAATTGGTGGGTCTCACCTTGCAAGATTTATGATATATTTATCATGACCAACCATGATTATCTTGATTGGATGATCAGGATTTATCAGGATTTAACCAACTGTAGGTGTGAACGGTGAGAAGGAACATGCAAGACTGGCAAGACTTAGGATGCCAAGACACGGATTTAAGGAGTCATAGATGGGGGAATGATGGTCAAATTCGCATAGATGCGTGATTTTGATGATAACATGTGATACCATGTTTGATTTAACTTAGTCATAGACGGGGCAGATGTCATTTCAAGTTGTTGTTGTTGTTGTTGTTGTTGTTGTTGTTGTTGCCATTTAATATATATATATATAATGAATGAGTATTTCAGTATGGTCCAAATTGGGAACAAGACGACCATGGGGGAACGGGGGACACGCCTATCCTAGGCTGCTTGGCGATGCTTGGGATGGTTGGGATTAATGTCCTGTTGGGATATGGAAAACCAGATGGTCATGCCTTGTTGGGATTGATTTTACAATGTTTTTTTTTGGTTCCCCAGCATGTTTGCAATCAAATAGTACAGGACTTGGTAAATGTATGAAAATGTACCAAGTTTCTATCGGTTTTTGGGATTTTGATCGCTTGAAAAGTTCGTATCCGTTGGAGATAACATATCCCCATAGTTGGGTGATGTGAAAAAACTCATGTCATTTACCAAGCACTGTTTGAACGACACACCCAAAAGATTGGTTTTTCATAGGGAAAAAGGGAAAACACACATGTTTTTCATGGGGAAAACATGAAACAAACACCATTCAATGACCAATTCAGGAACCTAAACTGGAGGTACCTACCACATATTGTAAGGTTTATGTAAAGGAATATACCCCGCAACATATGGCCAAACATATGGTACTAACGTACCTCCAGTTTAGGGTCCTGAAAATCCCTTTGAAAAATATTGGAATTTCCTGACCTGAAAATGTTGCCTTTTCGAATTCTGGGACTTGTTGCATCCTTCCGAAGCCAGGGTCTCCCAGTTTCACAGATGATTTGAACATATGGAGCCTACCCCAAGTCCCTCCATTTTGCTCAAATGAAAGGAATCTGTTCATAAATTTGTTTAAGTGGCAAGGGGTATCTTCTATCGGGGTCTGAATTTGTATGGTTGTATACTCTTTGCCCCACGACGTGGCTTCCAGACGCAGGAGGAATATTGAGGGTGTGCAGGCTTGTCCCTTGGGTAGGCCCACGAAACCCAGTGATTGGCTATTCTGAATGGATTTTTCCTTGTGTAATTACCCATTTGCAGCTCCATGTTGCTTGAATAATTATCAACATTTACCCCCTTCCAATCTAGGTAAATATGGTGGTAAAACCCAGCAAAATCACCATTTTTGTGGGTGTTTTGAACCATCCCCAAATGGTAGGGTTTATGTCATTGGGTTTCCCACACGAGCATTGGGGTTACAAAGCAGCTTTCGGACTGGAGTGGCGAAAGAGGATCCCGCTTCATTGGAAAAAAACGTGATGTGGGAAACCCTAGCTGCCATAAACCCAGTATGACTGGGGATGGTTGGAATCATCGGTGATGACTTGATGGTGAAATCGGATGAACTCTAGCATGATATTTGACCATTTCCAACGCCTTGTAGAACTGGATTCTGGTGATTTTGCTTCGTTGCAAATAATGTCGAGAGGCATTACAATTGATATGCTCATGGTCTTCACCCTCCTTGCATTCCATGGGGCACTTGAGGTGGGAAGTGATCTTCCAATTTCTCACAGCCCACCGAGTGGTACGTCCGGCGCTGCCGAAAGAGATCGCTGCGCAGATGGTCACGATATGTCACGACTCTATGCGAGGCTTCACCTAAAGAATTCCCACCAAGAACATGGATTTGGTCGTCAACAAATCAGATTTATGGGAATTTCACCATGGATTTCACCATGGATTTTGACGGTCACCAAAATTTCTCAGCTCTTTGAGCTCCTTAAGCGGTCAATGCTCCACTGGCTGATGATTCGTCGACAGATCCCTGGGTGGCCCACTTTGGATTGTCACAGAACTTGGATGAACTTGGGCACCACCAGGATTTTTACCATGATTTTACATCATTTTACATCACTGCTTGGTGGTTTCAAACATGAAATTTTGACTTTCCCATTTAGTTGGGAATGTCATCATCCCAACTGACGAACTCCATGATTTTTTAGAGGGGTAGGTATACCATGGTATACCACCAACCAGTTTTGGTATAGGCTTCCAGGGGTTTTCCCATGGGAAACCCGATGGATTGGGAAAACTCCAGCATTCGGAGCCAAGTTTTCGAGGTGGCTTTGGCCTCGTCTGCAGCTCTCCGGCCAGGCTTGGGGATTCAGCTATACCAGTTACAAGGTGAATTATGAAGCTATAAACCACCATGAACATTATTATGTTTCGACATGTTTCAACACTTGGTGATTCTTCGAAACTAGTATTTGTATGTATTTGTACAGTTGGTGGCTATAACTTCAGTTTGATGAGTTTTTCATATATGTTGCATCCTGAAAAACAAAGTTTTCTACAGGATTAGATAGGCCTGTTCTTGTTGCTATGCACACCGCTGCGTCAGACCTATGATGGATGGTTCGACCGATACATCGTGCCAGCTCGAATTGCCAGGCGCTGCTTGGAGGTTTCCTAAGCCATGGGGGTACCCATGGGTACCCCAAAAATGGATGGTTTATTTCATGGAAAATCCATCGATAAATGGATGATAACTGGAGGTACCCCTATTTTATGAAAGCCCCAAATAAGCGTTGACGCTTTGCTTGAGAGGCCCGAACGTTCTCACGTGGATGTGTTTGTGCCTCAACTACTGCCGTTGACCGGGGCTTGATGACCTTTTTTTGATACCCGGCAACTACTGCGCTACCGATCCAATGCCAAATCGATCCAAATCAACTCATGACCGATCGCTTCATAAACCCTGAGGTATCTCAGATGTCTTAAAGAACTGGGGGTTGTACTGTCGCCTAGGCCTGAGCCTTTTAACCTGGATGTGGATGGTGAGCGGAAGGCGGAGCGGAAGGGATGTTTGCTGCAAAAAAAACGGAGGGGTTTGTAGCCATAACAATGGCTAAAAGTATGAAAATCATGGGGTAAGATACCATTATTATATATATATATATATACCTTGATCCACAAGACCCTGCTAAAAAGCAGGTTCTGCTAAATAAACTGGTTTTTGATGGAAAAACCAGGTTTTTGCAAATCAGAGTATGTTGCCTTAACAAGCATGAGTCATCATACCGGATTCACATACTCTCCTTTCATCTTTTCTCTCTCAAGCATCTGCAGTGATGCGCATTGAGCGTCTAGCGCCCGAACCCCAGGAGTGAAACCGCTGACTCTGGCTTTTATTTGATAATTTGGGCATCTCTTAAATGGGCATAAGTGGCTAGCAGCGACCTTTGAATTGTTCTTTGACACGCTCGACGGCAGGATACCCTGCGACTAATCCTTGATGGCTTACCGATGTAGTCTTCCTCCATTTGGCACATCCAGATGAGCGGTGATATGCAAAACCCAGCTAACTTCACTTGGTCAACCATCAAAAAGAAAACTTCATGAAGTCGATGAAGATTGGGCATGAATGGAAAAAGCGGTCGTCCCATTTGAAAAGCCTGGTAGGCAATGCGTCCATTGAGCTTCAGGAACTTAAATCCATGAGCAGAGATTTCCAACGCTTTGGAACCATGAATCCAGATTCCTTCCTTGAAGAGCTTGGAAAAGAAGCTATCGATTTCAACAGCTGCGAGATAACACTTCTGAAGTATTTTCCCTCTAAGACTGTTCTCTCGCTCCTTGCAAAAGTCAATGATGAACTTCAAAAGGCAAGTAGTTGTGGATCCTTTTGACCAGGCACCACTGGGAAACTCAGTAGTTTGCATCCACTTGATTGTCTCCTGGCTAAGCCGTTTGATGTAGGGTCGCTGCTTTTTTTTTTGGCACCAGTCAAAGAAAACGTCGTGCAACTGCTCAAACCTTTTCGGCACTGAACTTCCTTCCATCTCCTCAGAAACTAGCACGAGGCACGAGGAAACGAAGACTTTTCCAGCTCCCAAATGGAAACCATGAAACAAGTCCATCCCCATGATCGATGTTGGCATCTCTGGGTCATGAGGTAGTTGGAGAAATATTGGATCTCTGCCAAATGGTGGGCTGACCCCAACTGTACTTCTCCAATTGGGATTCGCCGACTCAAAGTCTTCCCAAGGGTATCCACTTTGGTCAGCCAAACAGTGCATGCATATACCTTTTGATGCCGTTTGACTGGAGGGCCGTTTTGCAACCGACCCAAATGTCCTTGTCAAATGAAAAGTCTTTTGGTGAAAGGGCCAGTCCCCTATCACCGAGATCACGGCGAGCCAAAATTTCTCACCTGTCGCTAACATGCACCCATTAGCAAGGATCTCATTCATGTCGTCCACAAGGGCTTCTGTCATCCTGTCATATGCATCCGTGTCACCTTTCTTTGCATCGTAGTAGCCTTTTGGTAATACTCCTAGAAGCCACCGTGTTGTCCATGTATTTCCAACTATGTTCACATCTTGCTTTGCAAAATCTGTTTTCAGCGTGGCTCTACGATTCTGCACCGCACACCCTTTCCCTAGGCATGAGTGTGCACTCAAGATCATTATAGCATTTTTTTTCTTTGACCTCCCTTCGTCTCCGTGAATAATGATCGCAGCAGTACGTTCCAAAACTATTGAGCCATTCCTAGCTAGATCAAAAACTTGGTGGTTTGGCATGATCCGCTCATACCTTGTCCAAAAAGTTCCCCACTGAGACTTGCAACGGTCATCATCCCGGGCATCCAGCCCACTGAGCGTGTGCCAAAGATTCAAGTTCAACAAGAACCTGAACCACGAACTCAAAAGCACTACTGGGATTTGAACTCCCTTTGAAATTTGAACATCAGTCAAAGGGACAGGAATTGTAAGTCCATATTCTTTTCCAATCTGATGGAAATCCCGTTCAGAGTTCTTGGTCGAACATTGTGCCAAGACATTGATACTAGTTTGAGCTGCAACCGGAACTTCTTCCACCACGGCCCGGGCTGCCCTGATTGTTGATGAACAAGGGGCCTCAGCCGGTCGCTGCTAGCCACTAAATTCCATGACTATATAGTATACATGGGGATCATAGGGGGGTAGCTGATTCAGTGCACATTGTAAATCAAACCTTCCAACTAGTCAGATCTGCAATTTGTAGTGACAGTTCGGACTGACTCTTTTGTCCCCTGTGTGTGCAAGAATCGACAGTCGAGCACGGCAAACTGATCTCTACATTTTTTTGGCTTTGGCAGCTTTGCCAAAAAGAACTTAATTGGTTTCCAGCTAGCATCTAAGGATACTAAACCAAAGGAAACATAAAATCAAAACAGGTGGATCAGGCTGGCTTGTGTTTGAAGCTCCTGTACACCATATATGTCACATACGCTGCAGAGGTGTCATGGCCAACGCTGTCACCACCTTTTCGAATGTTGCGGCACCCAGGTTGACCTTGGCTGGCTTGTTGGGTCTTGGGATTCATGTGAACACCAATGTTGAGAAAAGGGCATCCAGGTGCGGTTAAGTTGAATGATTGCATGCTGCTAGGGTACCATCATATCGATCTATGAGAGCTGCTTCCAACATAGCTGGGCTCCATGGCTCAGGTGACAGGTAAAGTACCACCATTCGTTCCCAACGATCCCTCTCATGTAAGTATCCATATCTCCGGTTCTCCCACCTGATCTTTGGATCGCGGCTGAATCCAAATTTAAAAATCATCGGGGCGAAGCTCTCAAAGAGGGTTTCTACAACTTGCACGGCATGCTTCAAAACCATCCCAGCGGTCGTAACTTTCAAGGGTAGCCAGACGGATATCTGGTCATGTTTTTCAAGTTCATCCAGCAGAGTATTGACAACAGGGTCATCCAAAGTCTCCCGAATGTGTAATTCCCAGGACACCCTTCGTGTCTTGTCACAGGAATTAGGATCAGGAGTCCTGGGCGTCACAGCAACGGTCCTTGATTGTTGCTGCGGAATTGACCATGGGAAAGGACCCTCTTCTACCTTAGCTGAGATCACCCCAAGAAAGTTTTTGAAATTCCCCACCTGCCAGGTGAGGGTTGTTAGATTTTATCAGAGCTGTTCTTCCGCCTCCTCCTCCTCCTTCTCCTCCTCTTCCTCCTCCTCCAGTTTCTCCTCGACCATGTCTGCATCCACTCCCATGTTCACTTCCGCCTTGCCAACTCTTCGCCAACTTCCGCGCGCAGTGGGCACTGCTGGACCTCAACTGCCGGCGTGCGATCGGAGTGGGCACCGCTGGACCTCAACCTGGGACCTTCCGAGCTCAGTGAGGACCTCTGAACCTCAACCTGGGACCTTCCCAGCTCAGTGAGCACCGCTGGACCTCAACCTGGGACCTTCCGAGCTCAGTGAGCACCGCTGGACCTCAACCTGGGACCTTCCGAGCTCAGTGAGCACTGCTGGACCTCAACCTGGGACCTTCCGAGCTCAGTGAGCACCGCTGGACCTCAACGGCCAGATAGAATGCCAGAAGATATGCCAGATAGAACGCCAGATAGAATTTCAGATAGAATGCCAGAAGATATGCCAGATAGAATGCCAGAAGATATGCCAGATAAATGCCAGAAGATATGCCAGATAGAATGCCAGAAGGTATGCCAGATAGAATGTCAGATAGAATGCCAGAAGGTATGCCAGATAAAGTGCCAGAATGTTTGCCAGATAGAACGCTAGAAGATTTGCCAGATAGAATGCCAGATAGA